CACCGATCTTCTTTAATTAAGAACCATTTGTATACGTGGCCATTTGCAAAATGGTAAAGGACTTTTTTGTTCGATCGATTCATAATTTTAACGTGCTTTTTACTACGATATCTTTTCCGTCCATCTACTTTTCACGATCGTTCAATTTCTGTTCTTTAGTTGTTCTGCGAAAATAGATCTGCTCCGTTTCTCTCTTCACAACGTCTGCCGCGTTAAGTAAGTTAGAGACAGCTGACGTGGTTTTTGCGAGCCGGCGATGATCCGACCGAATTGAACGGGAAGCGTAAACGGGGCCGCGCACGTTTTGTTATACGCGATCGTGGTGATAACTGCTCGGAAATAGGAATCTTAACGTGTGGCTTGAACGCGGGCTGCTGATGTAACGTAAGTAATAGTGTCGATAGAATCGTTGCCTATGGGTTTAATACCTGCATTCTCCACACTATAAAGGGACTAATTGACCGCGCTCTATGCACGAGTTGTATGGTTTGAAGGAGCCGTACATTCAGTTCAGACGACGAACAAAGGAAGTTTGTTATTCAAATACCGCGTCTCTTGCCCCGCCAGCCGCGGCAGGATACCGCTAACGTAATAAATAACGACGCGGATAACATCTAACGAGAATCACTTAATCACCTTTTCGATGCTGCCTGCCTCGCGCGCGCGAGCGGTCGATGCCGTAGATAAAGTAGTTAACGAATTCAGCGCTTTCCAACCTGCAGTTTCGCCGATAGTAGTTTGTTAAACTGCGGCCGGTCCGAAACAAATAACACGGTTAGGCCAGGAGGATGGGCGTTTTCCGGATAGCGGAGTAATAAAAAGAGGAGGAGGGAAGAGAGAGGGAGGAAAGAGAAAGAAAGAGAGGGAGAAAAGAGAAGCGAGATTCTCACTATGTTTGCGGATTATCGCCGGCAAGCGGTATAACGTAACGGTTAAAAAGCGCGGCAAGGTTATTCGATCACCGCAAGACGAACTTATATTAGAGGGATCCGCATAAAAAGTCTGCGAATAAAGGTGATAATTCACGTAAGCGTGTTGGGAAATTTCGCTTCTTTGAGATGTGTTTTACCGCGCGTGAAGGTTTTAACATACGAAAAATAAAGAAACAGGACGTTGCAGAACACATCGTAACTCCTCGGTATGTTACGCTGCGGTGCGTGACGCGTGCGCGTTTTCGGAATTCACAGCAGCCGCACGATTGTAATCTCACACTGCGTCATCAAATTTACACGGGGTAAGTGAGGTGAAAAAGCTTTCATACAACGAATTCGACAAATTTCCGAAATTTCGGAGGCTCTCTCCCTGGAGAATTCTACAATTCGTATTAATCCTTCGCCGCCACCGTCGCGCGATTGTTGGCGCAATTTTTGAAACGACAACATTACTTCTTGTGTTCGTTTGCGTTATCCATCGGAGGTGGCCCGGTTAACGTCGTCGATAACGTCGCTAAAGTGGAAACGCCTTTCCCCTCCGATAATTTAGAGGTGTAAAGAGCCGTCGGCGAGAGAAACTCCTGTATAGCGTCCCGTACCTCGTTGTCGTAGTTGCTCGTTATCTTATCGCGGGTCTTCGATTCCCTCCGACACCAATCGGCCTCGTTATCGTTAAAAAAGGGGGAATCAGGGACGGCTTGTAAAAGCTCACTCGGCGCGATAACGGAATTTACTATCAGCAAATCGGGAGGGAGTCTCGCTACTCAACAAGTTGGCCTCGCCGAGGGTAGAGCCGAGAGGGTGAGCTTTTGCTCAGCGACGGAGCGCAAAGTTACGGAAGTAACAGCGCGACCGAGGGGGAGGAGGAGGGCCAAAGAGAGAGAGAGAGAGAGAGAGAGAGAGAGAGAGAGAGAGAGAGAGAGCGACGATGCTTCTCTTTCTGTCGCAACAATATCTAGCGCGCATACGCGGAAAATCGCATAAATGCGTTTTATTAAATCCCTCATTCTTCGGCGGCGATAAAATTTTAATTAAAAGCGAGTTCGCGATCGACACGGTTTATCGCAACCCTTTGTACAAGTAACCTCCACGAACACTATCGTACTCATCTAGCCGCGGGCTATTAAATTATTTAAGGTCGATGATCGCGCGTAAATTCTATATAAGGTTGCAAGTAGGTCACGGTCCGATGATTTTTATCCGTTGAATTAAAGCGCGACAAAGGATATGCACGCACCTCCCCGTTCAAATCTCGCGTACGTTTTTCATCTGCGAGTAACGACCGCCGCCCGAACCAGTTCTCTATTTAACGCGGCAAATAATTTACCTCCGGCTTCAATAGCTTCTCGATGCACGACATTTTGCTGTTCATTATTTCCAGCTCCAGATGTTCTTTGTACAACTGCGGACCAAACGCAATCCGGAAGTCGGTGAGAAACGTCGGTCGACGCGAACGTATAGTTAGTAGGGAAGAAAGGTTTGCACAATATTGTTTATCTTCTCTCTTAAATAAAATTAGTATATTCTTCATTGAAATGCTATACTTGTGATAGTTCAGTTAGAAGTACTTTGCTAAAAGTACATGAAAGTTGAATTTGTTATAACGAATTTATATATTACAGATTTTTTAGGGAAATATTACTTCCATATTCACTGAGAAAAACGTGATAATGAAAACTATATGAGCTTTGTGTGTAGAATTGTAATGTGTATATAATTTAATAAATTATTTCAATTAATTCTACGTATGTAAAACTCATATAGTTGTCGCCAGTTTTGCCAGAAAGAAAAATCACTTGTACTAAAAAATTTATGAAAAAAAAAAATGAACCACAATGTGATTCTACGTAGATAAGAATTTATAATCTACGTTATTTTAATTTGCGATGTGAATTATGTGATCTTGGATCCTCTTACCACGTGTATCTCATAAATGTGACGTGATACAAATTTTTGAAAAACGAATTCAGCACGTCAAAATATGTAGGAAATAGTTTGTCTTCCTTCCGGAACAAAATACTTTTTTTATTCTATGCTCCTGTGTTATAAATTGTGATGAATCCGGTACAATTGTACCAAGATTGGCAACATTAGTGTGTCTTTTTCTGATTCAATAAAAAACACTTTGAAAGTTAGAGTACCAATGTCTGATAACACTGATAACATTGATACCTAACTCTGCACATTCTTGTCGTTTTAGTCTTTAAATACAGACATATTTTACGTTTAAACATATTCATATTTGAAAACTAAAACAATAAGAATGTCCAAAGTTAGATATCTGTGTTATAAGTGTCTAGGCATTTATCTTACTGATTTACTTTAAGAGAGTTGATAAACTGTACAGGTATTAAAAAAAAAGAAAATGTTGCAACCTTCCTTCCGGTTAACCGATTATACTCACCATTTTCTTCGTTTTCTCTTGAAACACACTCATTCGCTGCAGCTAAAGATCAGAATTATCACAAAAGTAATGATGTATCGTATTCTCTCTAAATCCCCTCTCTGTTTGTTCTCTCTCTTTTTGAATACATATCAATAAACTTACATGCTTGTGAATACATTTGTACGGCGGTATGATACTAACGATGCTCTCCATCCGCGGTAACTTCTATAAATTATTAGTAGAGTGAGCGTTCCGATGCCCTCACAAAGCGCGGCTCAATATCGCTCTAATCCCTGATCAAACTTCAATCTGGCTATAATCGCCAAGATCGGCAACTTACCTTCTCCGCTTTTTCGAGCAATTCGCGAAAGAGCGTGTCGTTCGACATCACCGTGTGCAAACTCTAACATCGGGGAATAAAGATTTCATTATTTGAGAGACAAATGAATGGTGTATTAAAATTAAATTCAATTTTTCTCTCTCTCTCTCTCTCTCTCTCTCTCTCGTTTAGTAAATGGACTTTCACGGATGCCTCGGTATTTCCGTATTTTCGTGATCTGTTCCTAATCTCATTACAAACGTCCACGAAGTAACTTTATTACCAAGCGCGTTTCCTCTCTCTTCGATTCGTCCTATCCATGAATAAATCTCGATTTTATCCTCGAGAACGAACAACGCGAGAAAAAAAAGAAAAAAATGGAAAAACTCCGTTTGCGAGCGATTTGTTCGAAATTCGCGGTTTTCGAGTACCGTTCTTGCCTCAATGAGGATTAAAGCAGGTGTTTTGTCGAGCGCAGGAGCATGGTCGAAAATCCCCCACTCGGGATCGAAGGTGTGGTACACTCCTTCGCGTTTGTAAGGATTATATTTGTTACAATGGCACGTGCGCGAGAACATCGGTATTCAAGCGACTGCCCCGCAAAGTTGTTTACATTTTCTTTAAGCCGGGACAAGAGAGTTCGGCGCTGTAAGGTTTTCGGAAGATACGTGACTTGTATTCTTTCGCGGCAACAATGAGCATTACGTATTTAAACTCATATCGCATGAGACGCCGCGGCAAGTCACTTCAATATATGCGTGTACACACACATATATATATATATACATTATAAATGTTATATATATACACACATATATGTACACACACACATGTATATCGGTAATTTACCGCGATTTCGGCCTCGTTCATTGTATCTTGATTAATTACATGCCGAAATAATATTATCGTATTGGATTTAAAGCAAACAATTAATTACAGAACAACGTATTGTCGATGTATGTTTTAATTACTGTATGGAGGATCGCACGGCATGCAAATTAATTGCCAGAATAATAGGCTCACTTGAATTTTCTCTGCCGAGCGAATTATTGACCGAGAAACTTTCCGGCTCGCTGGTGCGGAGGGAATTAATCAGCGGATAAGTTTCTCTCGGATCTATATGGCTAATAAGTCTAATCCTTTCAGGTATCTTTTATCTGTCTATCTTTCGGTTGCTTCTCTCAGCTGGTCTCTCGATTTTATATCCGAATGTTAAGAGAGCGTACAAGCGAGCCGAAACGATACAACAACTTTCTACTTTTGATACTACGAGCGACCTACTTTAGCACTCAACTCACTGCTATCGAACATACGGCTATAATCACGACGAAGACGAACGTGACGAATGTCACCGTTCCGCAGTAAGCGCCCAAGTTAAAGAAACGTCTGAGACTGTAATCGGTGGTAAGGAACCAGTATATCTGAAACATTGCGAGGCTCGTGAAAAATCAGGACCCTTGTGATTCCTAGCTAACCTGATTGATCTGCGTGTCTGACCATCGAGTTTGCGCCGTGTCCGGGTGTCCGGTAATACTTGTACAGCCTGGTGTCGTCCATTATGAGGACAATACCAGATAATTTGTCAAGGTAACGCGTGATACCGCGTCGATACCGCGAGAGGAACGGGAGGAACGACGAATTTCACAGATCAAACGAACGTTTGACGGGATGTGGAGGTCACCCATTGGAAACACGCACCGCGATCGATCGGCGAACAAATGACGGTAAACATTGCGAACCGCTTCGACATGTGGTCAAATAATCGGACGATAATTCGACAGTCTTTCGTAAGTATTGGTAACGACATTATCGTCGTCGGTAATCGCGGTTCTCTCGATCACGTGTTATTGTCGAACGCATTAGTGACGGACAACCGATCCTGAAAATCATTCTTTATGTTAATCATTTTTATTTTTTACTTTCTAGCAAGAACGCAATGCAAAAGTGAATAGGTCAAAACAGATTGTATGGCAATATATTCTAAATGGCTGCGTTCTCAGCTTGCTCTGTAATTGTCCTAAAAATTTGTGAATTAATTCGTGAAATTAGATGCAACCAAGATTAAGAGCATATTCCAATCAGATTCACAAATTTTACAACAGGTGTAAAGCAGCATTCCTTGCTAAACGCAGAGAACATTTTATGTATGTATAAGTTGAACTAACGTATTTGAATGTAATTCAGTTTGGCGATTCTGCGGCGACGATAAGCCACAAATTTTTTTCGTATTATACAGAGAGAATAGTATATATTGATATAATTTTCTCCTTCAGCTTGTATCGCCAAGAAGGGGATTGGATTTACAATTATATTCCTTAATCACACTTTAAAATTCGTGACTTGGAAATTTTTTACAATTTTTACAAAATTATATATCGTTTCTTATACGTATGACAAAATTGAAAAGAATATATATATATATATATATATATATATATACATATAAAAAAAAGCTATAATTTTCGTTTATCCTTTCCAAGTTCGACAGTCTGAAAGTTTAACATTTTATACAAGTGGCAGTAACGAGTCAAACAAGTGAAAGTACTCGTTTTCCTGAATCCAGATTAGCCGATAGAGTGTGGGAGAAAAATGGAGATCCGGAGAGATCCGAATGGAGGATCCTCCATATTTCACGGATCATCGTCGTTCGCAAAACCCATTGTAAGACCTATGGAGAGGCTCGAAGTTTCGGTATAATTAATATCCGTACACATCCGTCGCCGGGTAATATCGTTCCTCTGCCCCGCATTTCTCCGCGTTTCTTCCGCGTTTACGCGAGAGCTACCCCCTCACGTTTTCAACTTTAAGCATAGTTCGTGTCAGCCGCGTTCGTTACGTGTCATTAGGATCCTCGTGAAAGGTTTGTTTAGTTTTGCGTGCGCCACCAATATTCTTCCCGCCGAAGTTTCCAGCTATAATTTATGACCCACACCGCTTCCGTGTGTACGTAACACGAAATGTGTTATTGAGTTATAAAAGCATGGCGTTGTGGGCGGAAATATTATTCGTAATTGAACTTTCCCTCATTTCAATTCGATCTCGCCGGAGAAGCTTGTAATAAAATGTAAACAACATAAATACAGATCACAGGGCTTGTACGCGCGATACACACACGTATATATATATATATATATATATATATATATATATATATATATATATACATACATATAATAAAATATATTTTCCTTAACTAAACCTTGAACCCTTTGATTGGTTTAAATCAAATCTTGCAGAATTATTCTCTAGGAAAATATAGGATAACATGAAATTTGGACACATACAGCCCCATCCTCTCCCCCTGATTTTAGCCCCTTCACTTTGTGATAAACGCTTGATAGTTTCAGTTGACATAATAACCGCAATATTCATGAGATTCGCAGCGTAATAATGCATGTGCGAAATAATAGAGTTGATTCATCTTGGCACGATGTCATACTTCCTGGGTGGAAGTATGAAACGACTCAAATGAGAATTGTTGCCGACGACGACGATTATACATGCTCTTTGTCCGACGGTAAAGCTCTTGAAATATACCGACTACATGTGAAACAGAACATGTAGTGACATAAGCGGATGAGAATATTGAGATCAATCTGGAATAACATTCGAGGTATAGGATATGGGCGACAGAATAGAATCAGGAGTCACATCGAGTACAACGATAAAAATACAATACGTTTCGAACGGTTTTTCCTCAATAATGCTCTTTATCGACTGTGCCAGTTCCTTGCTTGTCCATTACTTGTCGCTAATATTATTACTGCAGCGGAGAAATTGCTTATAAACTCTATGTATCTTTCTAATGGAAGAAAATATCGAATGCACGGAAAAATATATCAATAATTGATACGATTCTATCTTACTTCGTGCTACTTCATCACACATATCATTCAGAATTTAGTTGAGAACACATAAGGGATCTTTCGTGACACCGGGATTAGCATAAAGCACTGCTATTTTCGATCGAGATGACTATGTTGGGCGGCACGATCGTCGAGTCGCTTAAAATCTCGTATATTCGCGTTCTCGTTCCGCAGGGCTCTTGTAGTTGCTGCGAATGTCGAGGTGGAGAGAGAGCATGAGAGAAAGAAAGAGGGGCACGCGAAAAAATATGTAATTAAAATCCAACGCTGTGGGTGATGCATCTCGAGCACGAGCGGGAAAATCAGGGCGAGGAAACGAGAAAATTACCAAGATAGACACAGGGGGATAGGATAGAGCGGCTGACGGGTTAGAAGAAGACAAGTGCGCAAGAAATAAAAAGAACCACGCCCAGAGAACCACGCGGAGAGAAAACGAAAGAGCGAGAGCGCGAGAGAGAGAGAGAATGAGAGCGGGGGGGAGGGGGGGGGGGGG